TTCCAGTAACAGAAAATAAAGTAGATGGTAGCTGTTTCAGCTCCTTTTTAAGATAACTCGAACAACCATATTATAAACTTGATAGGTGTTTGATTTCAAAGTTTATGTTTGACGAAGAATGTTTCTTCAATCAACTTAAACCTGACGAACTTCAAATTGAATTAAAAAAACTTAACGCAAAAACAGTGTTTATAGACTAATATCAGATAATAATGAATACTTTCTTATGAAAAATGGAATATATTTTAAATGCCCCAACAGAGTTGAGTTGTTAACTTACTGTGACCAAATTTAATGAAGCAATGTTCGACCACTGTATAGACTCTCATGAATAAACTCTCAATGATCAATGTTTTATTTAATGTTCAGTTAACTTCTCAATGAAATTAATGAAAAATATATTTCTGTCATTATTCTACTTCAGCTGGTAAGAAGGCATGCAAATGGTTCCAGACGTATATATCATACTTCAGTCATTTCTATAAATAGTATGGTTTTTGTCATCACACACTCATTTCCCCACTTTTTTGTAAGTCTATGTTTAGAAGTACTCCAGGAATATCATGACACCTTGAATGAATAAATACATATCCATTTTAGTGTTTTGTACCATTTGTTGTCTGTATTTCACATTCGGAAAGATGAAACATATGTCACATAAATTCGGTGATAAAAAACATCTGCTTCACTCAATTTATTTCACTCGGTCTTACAAATGTTAGTAAGAGAGTGACAGAAAAATAATCTAGATATCATTTATTGAATGATCTAGCCAGGAAAGTTTTATCAGTCAGTGAATTCTCTATTTAATTTGAACACTTGAAAGATTTTCTTAAACAGATTATGTTTATTATATTAGTTACATTCAATGGTACACATCTGGTGATTATTTTGTACTTTATATCTTAATTGGGCAACCAAGGAAAAATAGGAAGCGATGGATAGCTTTTACGGTTTAGGGAATTCGGGACTTACAGTAAGACCTTAACCTACAAACTATTAAGTCAGTATTCAGTGGTTCACATTCCAAACTTCACTCAAGTTTCAGTGTTGTACAACTGTTTAGCAATGCTATTGATAAGTAGGCTAATTACTTCGAATGTTTGTGAATTTCATTGGTAAAGGCTTCTTGCTTTATGGTTATTTGTCGAATAATAATTTCTAAATCACAACTCTTCAAGATAGGACCATCTATGTACATTACTATAATGACTGACGACAGCGAAAATCAACATGTTAAAGTGAACAATTACTTGATCACTGAATGGTGACCAATATCATCTTTAATTAGTCCACTGTCGTTCAATTTGCGGTGCGGCAACTAGTCTAAGTAAGACATCTTCTATGCTATGCTGAGATATTAGGTGGTTAGTCGTGGTCAACAGAGTTTCCTAGTGACCCACTTGAACTTCCTAACACAGCACATATTAGATGTCTAGTGAAACGTATTCATGAATGCTGAATGAAGGTATTCAATGACATTTATTAAAAGCTTAGTTAATTTTGTGAATATTTGTATCCCAACTCACCGATTAAGGAGTACAGCACTTGAAAAACCTTGGATTCTATCCTTTGTAAGAATGCATAAATTATATCAAAATTAAACTTTTAACTAAGGTCTAATCAGTCAAACTGTTGATAAGTTTCTACTAACAAATCACAGTCATTTAGATTATTTCAAACATAACTTAAACGTTTAACGTCTTTTAAATACTTTTCACCCTATTGCTGTCAAATTTAAAGAGAGCAAAACAAAAATCTGGGTACAATACCATGAATCCATTTTATTTTTTCAGGTGCATACGACCCATAATATTTTTAGCATTAAAATTATCATAGAACTTAACACAGTTATACAAGCGAATTTAGTGATAAGTGAATACATATCATTGCAATGGAACAAAGGTTATAATGAAGTTAATGAGATTGGAAAAATATTTCAGATGAATACAGCGTGGGAAAGAAGATTGTAGAATATCGAAAGAGTAGCCAGTGATAACAGACTCGAAAGTTCTGTTGATTGAGTAATGAATTTGAATTTTAAAATATTCTGGATTGCAAGTAGCTGACGATGATGGCTCAAGGAAATAGAATGAATTCATGTTATTCTACTAAAATCTTCGTTTTTGCTCTCTTCGGGAAAATGAAGGAAACTGTAAACATGAAATTTCTGAAAAAGCGCCTGCAATCATTTTTGCCGCTGGTAATAGTATGCTGTAAAATTATTGTGAGAGGTGACTAAAATTTAATTATTTCATGAGTGTTTCGAGTCATGCTGTTACCCCAGTCAGTTTGTAAAATGTTTGTTTTCATGTGAATTTCAGCTTTCACTCAAATATCTTCGACCTTCCATAAAATTTTACATTGAATTGAAGAAATCGCTTATCAAAAGTTCAAGAACAGAGACCACTGTCTTTGATAAAGTAGTTATTGTTTAAAATATCGAGTTTAAGATAAACTTTATTAAATTTATTCATTATCTGTAAAGCGAAATATGTAAGTATTTCCAGGCAACATTTTCAAAGACTATTTTAAAGCGACACCAATGTCAAGGAATTTCAAAAAAAACCTAAAAATGTCGTTATAATCTACCAAATATACAGTTAAATAAAATAAAAGCTGAAGCTTTATCTCTGGGATTTAAATTCCGTATCCTAAAAAGGATAATAGAAAGAGTGATATAGAAACTCAATTTAGAAATTTGAGGAAAAGAAGGGCTGGTTGACATCCAAACTAGTTGATATAACTAACTAATACCTCATCTCACCCATACCAAGGTCAAGGAGTTTGTCTAAAATCATGTGACAGCATCTTGATGCCTTAGGCAGAACGAAAAAGTAATGATATTACTATCAAATAAATGTTCTGATGTTGTTACCAAGATGAAGTTCATTTCAAAAATCATTTAAGATTCAAGGTAGATGAAAGTAACATTAACTTAATTGATCCAACAGAAAAAACTCACGACTGCATTAAGAGAACTACTGAAGAATGACTTATAAAATGTTTTATAATCCCTCCTACAATAGAGTTGGGTCTCAGGTTTCTCGTTCTCTCCTTATATGTGGTTTACCAAAGGTTCATAAACATATCTTGTTTAGGCCTATTTCGCTAATGATTAATTCACCCTATCATAAAGCTGAAAGGTGGGTGGCAGCGAAATCAAAATCGGCTCGTCAAGGATTTCCTCAGAGAACAAAACTCCATCAAAATCATCCACCTGATCTACGAATCTTCCCTACCGTCTCAAAAGGATTAACTACATATGGATCAAAGGGTTAGCTACAACTTGCGACAATTTTGAATCACACAAACATTTATTGTAATTCAGCAATATTTTTGACGTAATATCTTTATTTGCCACAATATCTTTTCTTGTAACTATTAACACAATTTATTAGAATTCTGACTTTAAACAGTATCAAGACTCAAACGGCTGCAAATCATTTGTACTAAAGATGTTCAGTTTCAGTTTGATAACATTATTTACAGTCAAGCAGATGGTGTAGTATTAGAAAGTTCTTGCAGATACTTTCATGGCTAATCTTGTAAACCCTGAGTTAAAAAGTGAGATAGAAAATATAATGTATTATTTAAGGTATGTTGACGACACTTTCCTAGTACGTAATTATTAACAATATCCAACTTACTTTCTGAAGCTTTTAAACACAGCTTATAAGAATATCCGATTCGCTATGAAATGTGAACGATAACAAGTTCCGATTTCTTGATATCATAGTAAATGGAAGAACAATGAAAAATTCAACCTTCAGTTTGTAAAAAATATACATGAACGAGAGTTTCAATAGCTTTTGTTCAGCCATCCATAAAATGCTAGTGGTCAAAAAATTACCTCACAGCACGCAAGTTGTGTCCTGCCCATACGCTAAAAACGGAGCTAATGAATATTTAAAAGAACTCAAGAAGCAACAAGCATCTACAGAAGTCTGCTAATAATTTAGGTTAGATACTGCGTGAAACCGTGAATGATGTAACTGAAAAATAATAATCAACTCTGGGACCAAAAATAATTAAAATACTTATATATACTGCCAAAACTGTTTCATTAATATCACTATTCAAAAATGCTACTTAGCAGCTGATGATCGGATGTCTCAACCACTAAGCCACAACCTTTGTCAAAAATAATGATCCTAGCTTAGCTAAATAGACAAGCTAATTGATCATTTTACAGTAATCAATACCAATGTTGGTCGTATTTCTTTAGTCAAATTTTGGTAATTAAGTCAAAAAGCATATATCTATGATTCACTCAAAGATCAAATAATCAAGCACAATTTGACTAGTAATAGGTAATTAATATTAGTTAGAAATAATGTACAGGCTCATAGAAACGTAATTTTAATCTTTACCCAAGATTACCATTTACGATTGTCTGTTCACAATATGTTTTCACACTTTATATAGTTGTAATCGCAGAATACATTCACTAATCAAATCGTCAATCAAATAAGTACACGAGGAATTAATTCTACTAGCTATTAGTTTTGTATACAAGTTTACTTTCTTTCAAAACAAAGAATCCTGATGGTTAAAAAAGATACTTTATATCTCATAAAATATACATAAAAATTTAAAACAATAAACAAGTAATGAATCACAGCCGTGGAATTAAAGTGTACTTTAAAAAATAAAGACAGGGATCGTTTCATTCACTGGAAATTCATACAAATACTCACATTGAAAATGGACATTACGATCGGTATAAACGTTCCAAAAGTAAATTGTAGGAAAATGTTTGTAGAAAATAGTTGAAATCCGAAATTTTAAAAATCATCATAAGGTTCGAATTAGTATTAACATTCTCATTTTATTTTCATTGAAAATATTCGATAGTTAGCAATAGATGGAAAAAGACATAATTTAAACAATAAATAGTCAAGAGATAATAGCGCGATTAATAAATTTCGAAAGTTTTCAATTGATCTATGCTGTGCAAACGCTCATGTAAGTATGCTGTTATTGATAATTATTGATAGTTAAAGAGTTGTTGTCCGTTCATTATGATCTATACCTTCATTATCATAACCTTCATCTGTCATTTTACTGATTTGTGGTTTATATACTTCATATGCATTGACTTCTTCTTTTAATTGTAAAATACGTTCAATTTCCTTTTTGCGTTTCCGTTTTTTTCTAATTTGTTTTATCGTGTATGTGACAAAAAATGCTACGGTAGTAGCGCATCCTATAGTAAATATTACGATGCCAATAGTCATTTTAGTTACTGCACCTTCATCTTCGCCTGATCCCCATAAGCAACCACCAATCAACAAACTCAATGTTGATATGATAAATAAAAAGAATAAAGCTGGCTCTCCTTCAAATAATAACATTTTGAGTTCAATAGCAAATATAGCAATAAAATACAAATGTTAATGATCAATCCATATTTTGTCGAAAATTTCACAAAAGATTCTTGATTCTTGAAATAGTTGTGTACATAGAACGAATATTGATCTGGTCCTTCCAAATGAGTCGTGCAGCAAAAATGAACGTTTTCAAGTTTCAGTTTGATTGAATTATTATAGACCAATAAAATTCACGTTACATGACTACTAGAGCAATCGCTGATTGGTTAATTTTAGAATAGAAGACATTAATGTGATAATTGATTGGCACATTACGAGTATGTTTTAAAAAATATTGTTAAGAATGATTTCATATTTGCGTGTGTGTATTAGTAAAAACGATTTGGTCAGGTCGCCTTATTATTTAAATTAGTTGTGTACAGTTCATATTTTAAGTTCATTTGACTCTAAATCCATTCATAATTTAGCTGATTATTACTGAAAGGAATCTCTCTGTGATAATCAATCTAGTATGAAAACAAATAAAACACTTGTCTATATTAAGATACTATGATTGGTAGAAATGTCTGACCTCTGACTGTGTATTTAGTAAACAAACAACCCTTTGAAACAAACCTATAGATTTATAATTGCATTTATCTATCTCGTAGAACAGCTACAAGTGTTGTAACCAACAAATATGATTTGTTAGTAAAGTTGATTGTTTCGATAACTGTTTTATTATGTGCCTTTCACATATATGTTTACTTAATCATTCGTTTTTTGCGACGTAACTTCTAGTCATACTTTCTGAATTTAACCCGAGTGAAATAACAATACAATTACATATTCAATCAGCTGTTGAGTGATTCTATTATTCAAAATCTAATTGGTAGGGCTAAACAACATCAGCTAATTATGATCAGAAGGGGATTTCGTGTATATTATAGTAATTTCAATAGTTGAGATCATGAGTCAATCAAAGCCAGACCACTATGAAAAACCTGATGACAGGTGGAGTTTAACCAGGTCTGTTGTGAGATAGTAACCCACTGAAGACAATGGTGGATGTGTCGCTCGATTTCGTGGATTGGTTGAAGTTAGACATTACCACCGTTGGATGTCAGCCGGCTCAGTGATCTATAGGTTAAGCGCTTATGCGCGAGACTGATAGGTCCTGAGTTTGAATCTCGCGAGATGGGATCGTGGATTCTCACTGTTGAAAGAGTTCCACAATAGAAAGAAACGGCTGTCCAGTGCTTCCAGGTTCTTCATGGTGGTTTAACTTTATTTGACTCACGATACCAACTATTGAAAGTTAAATATCAGTTCAGCTTTATTGATAACCTTAATGATTTTATGAAAAATCGATTGAGCAATCATAAACTTAGTATCTATATTTAATTTTTATTGATTGTGTTTGGTGCACACAATTCTTTCTATAAATTAAACCGATTATTCTATTCAATAATATTGTGTTTAAAACATTGATTAACCAGTCACATTACCTTTCAACTAGAATTTATTCTATTGTCATGATGTGACTGTTAATTTTATACTACTGAAAAAAAAAGATAAAAATACTTCTTTTATTTAAAGAATTTGTGATTAAATAATTTATGGATTTCAACTGTGTTAGTGTCATATGTTTATTGGACTGTTGGTTATGAGATGGTAGAGATAATTTTTTATTATTGTGTTATTTCAATTTCCAGCTGATTTTTCTTTAATATGGATAATACAGTAAACAATTTTCTATTTAAAAAAATCGGTGGATATTCACTTCAGTTTGCTAATGAGTCGTGAATGTTTAAGGTTCTATTGTTGATGAAGTTAGAAATGTTGACTGAAAAAAAAACTAGTTTCATTCAAGGTATAGACAACTTTCTCATTTTAACTGATTCTCTTTAATTAAATTCAATTCGTAATGTAAACTGCATATTAAACAGTAAATATACATATACTATGAAGATCATTGAGAATTGTACAATCAATAACAGTTACAAATATTTCCAGCTACAATCTGTTCAATTGTAAATATGTCAGTATAAATGAAGTGACCGATTTTCATCGAGAACTTTGCTAATTAGTTGAAAAAAAAGTCTATTTTGATGGTTTTAATTGAGGTTTATGAGTTTTTACATAATATTTCATACAATATTATTGTCTCCCATCTCCTGAGCACATTTTGGCTTAATAGAAGGTAATTTAGTTTGTATTGTGTTAAATATCATTTATGTTGCATTGAAAATTTTACTGAGATAAATTTTTGAAATTTCATTATTGGTCGTATTTTGACAAAATAGGATCATTGAAGTATCATTAAACTGTTGAATATTATAGTTGTTTGCATTTAATTAGTAGCAAAGACTTGATTTTCTTATTTTTAATGATAATTCATATGTTATTCAAGTGAATTATGTGCACTGAAGAAGAAGGTGATAGCTTTCTGATATCAACTATGCTCAGACAGTAGTTTTAGAAATTTAGGTGGACATAGTGTGGTGTGTGCCACTTATATTGACATAAGTAGTATATGACGCTACTCGTGAACATAATGTCTGACAGCAGAGAGACAAGATCGAACAGTAAAGAATGGCAACAGAATACAATTTGTATGGAAATGCAAGAACAATAAAGTTTAAGTCATTATGAGACAAACGATCTACATTTTGCAAATTACGTAATTATTACTTGATTGTTAGATTTTATTAACAAGTCCTGCAATTTTGTGTCAAGCATATTTGATTGTCCTCACTGGTGTTCTTGTTCACTACGATAGTAAAAATGCTTTTTGTATTGCAATAAGATATTTTTTCGGAAAGTTAACATGTATTCTAGTTGATAATCTCAAGTAGTGTAATGAAACTATCATTCAGTGATAATGATGGGAAATATATAGTTACAGTGTGAAATAAGTCAGTTATTCTGTATAGTACATAGTATAAATGACTCATGTGTTCTACAGCATTAAACTGTAGCTTAATAATATAGTATCAGTATATCATTGATTGGGTCAACATAGGAAACTTGTTTCGCTATAAAATAACAGCTAAACATATTTAATATCGATAGTTCAGTATTTTTAACTTTAAGTAAATTTTTTAATACTCTAATGTGTATATTTTCATTGATATCTTATTTGAAAAAAAAAATTCATTCATTTGGTTTCTCAAAATATCCGAAGTTGGCCTGTTCTTCGAAAGTTTTATCTAAGGGGTCAATTTTACTCATACATATAGAAAGCACTTTATGTTTATCAGTTTTGTTTCTCGATAAGGCATCATAGTCTTGTTAAATTACTTATCTTTTGTAAGGTGAAATTTAAGATGAATAGAACTAGCTATCCAATGGGAGAAAAAGCGCATTCTGAATTCCATTAATAGCTACCGTCTAATTGTGTTTAGTAGATATCAACATTTAGTTCATTATTTCTAAGTGAACATATGTTTTAGTTAACATTATTGACTCGTGAAATTTTTATATTAAGGATGACTAATATACGGATTAGCTTCATGATATTGAAAATTAGTAGTTAATTCAACTCAGAATGTTGAAAATCGTTGTTGAATGTTCATGTAACACTCTCCTAAAATATATATTGCTTAAAATTATTACCGTCTCTGTTAATTTCATCATACACCTTCCCTCAGTATAATCACCTCAGAGCTGGTGGAAAATTTATCGAATAAATATAGACTACTTACATGTAATATCAGTAGGAACAAAATGTCATGTAATATTTTGTAGTTACAAACCCTATATATATATATATATATATATATATATATATATGTATATATAAAACTACACGAAACATTTGTAGTACGAATCTATAGAACACTGAATTAAAAATAGGTTCATGAGCATAAGTTCTGAATTACTCGATTCACACAGACTGCTTCTTGCATAGTATATAGGCTAGATACAGTACTGTTAAGCTTTTATACTTTAATTTGTCTAAATGTAGCCTAACATATCTGCATTTTGTTCTGTCAGACACACAAGGGGGAAACACACAAATGGAATTAGTTGTTTGTATCTGATGAAATATCACCTAGCCGTTTTTTGCAAGATTTCGAACATCTCTTTGCTGCCATATTTCTAATTGTATTATAGGATTTACTCTGTGCTATACTACATGTATTCAGTCTTCTCTGCACCTAAAAAAATCCTTTCTTAAAGGCCCAGGTAATAATTATGAGGAGCATTAAACAACAGTAGTTAGTGGACAAGAATTTACAGAAGTATATACCGAGTAATGCCTAAAACGTACAACCAGGTCATATAGTGAGTCAGGCAAAGAACTTTGTCTTCAAGCAAACTTAATTCTATTTTGAAATGCATAACAAAACCATTAATCGAGAAAATTCTCTTCAGTTTTTTCTCATTAGTTACCTACTTTTCATATCAAAATAAATAATTATGATAATCGTTTTTACAAAAGAAAAATTATAAGCTAACAAAGACTAGCAGTTTTGCTACAATAAATGATAACAATCTTTTTTTCAATGATATACAATTTAAAAAAGATTTTTGAATATACGCTCAAGTGTAGTTAATCAATTGTCAATTATGGTAGGCTGTTAGATTACTATTGGTAAAACTAGTTATGTAGGTTGAAACGATATCATTTGTAAGAAAAATACATTACATGTTCATATAGGTTGTCTAAAATTGACGACAGGTTTTGCATTATGGTCTAGTTTCAATTAACCCATAATCTCAGCTATTAAAATTTAGAACTGATCGTTAGATGGTGGTTGGAGGTAGTCAACCGGAACCCCTGAACCCGGCTTTCCTGCTACTTGACACTCGTCAGAAAGCTGTACCTGTAATCTTGAGGGGACTGGTGCTCCCTGACGGATCCGATCACGTGTCACCCGGCTTCACAGTCAGAGATGTTATCATTAGGCTATCCGGGCCGTGACCAAACTCCTGTAGGACTGAGATGTAATCACAATTGACTGATCAATGGGTGGTGATCAATGCCATGTGTGTCAATTCCTTCTTAGTGCAGATCGAATGCTATCAACCAAGTTGTAATGTGACCACTAGTTTAGGTGACTCGACACTGCGTGCACTATGTTGAGATAGTATTCGATCTGCACTAAGAAGGAATTGACACACATCACATTGATCATCACCCAGTGACCAATCCATTGTGAGAATTGATTGTCCCAGGATATATGATAATTATTCTATTTGAAAATCATATTTTCTCGCCAATCGATATCAGTTTAAAAATCTCTTAAAAATCATGATGCAGTAGATAGATGTGTAGTCCTAAATGTGTTTGATGAGAAGTGCCTAACTAAAATTAATATTACATCTGTTTGGCATTTACCAACTCGGGATGCTTCTTCAGGTAGAGACACTATAGTATTCTAATTATAGTATGAATTAGGAATCCCAGGATTAACGCAATTGAATTAAGAAGACACAGGCACAACGAATGTACTGTATTTAGAATTCGAAATCGAGCATTCAACAAGTACAAAAAGAATCATTAGTTAATTCAAACACCACATCCGCCACAGCTTAAATAGAAGTATAAGTGTTTGTAATCGGTTGTACGTCTTCTTGTTAAGTTCATCCTGAGTCTGTCCGACATTGTATAAGATAAAAACTTTGTAGTATCTAGAAAGTGCTCATTAGTATTGGAATTAACAAACGAAATCGGAACAGACTCACCTGGAATTGTATACAACCAGCATGTCGGTTTTGTAATGAAATCATTAATATCTAGAATTCGAACCATAGATTTTTCAACACTATCCCCCCCCACGAAATAATGTTGGATCTTTATACTCCCAAGTTATGAATAATGTGGCTTCATTTAAAACATATATCTCACATTGTTTAGAGTAAACATTAGAACTGTTTTTGTGATAAGAGTAAACAGCAGTTGATATGAAATCATCCGAAATATAATAAAACTCGAGGTCACTTAGTACTCGTGCTTCGCATTGGGCAGGTTTTTCACGAAGATCAAATACATTATGAGGATAGGTAATATATGATATGACATCAGGATTTGATTCTTCTGAAATATTCTCATGAAATTCATCAGGACTGTCATTGCAGAGCGTAGGATCGTTAGAAAAATCAGCATCTATCCAAACCACATCAGGTTTTCGATCATGATTAGGTTCATTTAACATATTTTCCTCAGAATTGCAAGTAATTTCATTAGAAATATGTGAATCATTAGGAAAAGTCATACTTGGTACAATAGCATGAGAATTCTGATAAATCGGTTGATTAGGAAATGTTGTCTCACAAGAATTCTGGATTTCATTTAACTCTGAACTGCCATATGACTCTGCACTGTCTTTTGAAATCGTTGATAAAGATAAATGATCATCATGAATACTCGACTCAGTAGAATCAGAATTACAAGACTTAATATTAATTGCAGTAAGATGAACATTAGCATTACAAACTGACTGAACTTGTCCAATATCACGACATTTGAAGCATTTAGAATTATGAAATTTACATGAATTAGAAGAGTGGAACTTGCAACAGGACAAACACTGACCAAACTTGTCCCCATCCTCGTGAACTGCATCCAAATTCAATGAATTGTCTGCATAACCTTGAGTATGCACTAGGTTGAGATGACGTAGTAATGTAGTGGACTTTTTTATATCCTCATGAATCATTTTACGAAATCTTCCTCCTTTACGACATTTGAAATTTGTATACTGAGCATAGTCTAGCAGTAGATCCTTGAGAGCTGTATAAGAAAGCGAAATGGGTTTTTCCGGCATAGCCAGAGTTCTTAATAAACTGTATGCTTCTTTTCCAATGAATGTGAGGAAGTGTGCCACAATATTAACATCCTCATCATCTTCCTTGGTCATAGCCCAGATTTCGAACCTTTCAAAGTAATCTTCAAAAGCTTCTGAAGTTGAATGAATATCTAACTTTTCCATTGCAGGCTCCATCGCGACGCCAATATAGTATTCTAATTATAGTATGAATTAGGAATCCCAGGATTAACGCAATTGAATTAAGAAGACACAGGCACAACGAATGTACTGTATTTAGAATTCGAAATCGAGCATTCAACAAGTACAAAAGAATCATTAGTTAATTCAAACACCACAGACACTCGGAAGTGAAAACTTTATTGACAAGTCTTATATTATTTGTTCATCTATTAAAAAAACGAATTGAAATGTACCAGAGATATGTGAAACTTTTCGAAGGCTAGTTTCAGCTGACTGAATAAGTAAGTTGAAAGCTATTTACGTTCATACGAGAGTTTTTTTAAATTTATTGTAAATATTTATAGACTTTTTCATGGCAAATACCAAACAAACAAGACAATCTAACCCAGTATTTTAAGATAGCTACCACTGACTGTTTAAAATCAAAACCAATACATTGTAATATCGTGCTTAGACTATTATAGTTATCTTTTGTGAAAGTGCTTTCGATAATGAACGTGAAGTTGACCTATTATTGTATGAAGATGAAATCATTCAGAAAAATATCAGTCTACAAACCTGGGAAATTATGACTTTAAGGTAAGGAAATTTAATTTTACTTAGTAAAACAATTTAATTATAATAACAAGTAGAAGTAGTATACTTTTTGGATATACAATTTCTTTTATTTCTGTATCATAAAACCATCATTTAAATTGATAATTAGTGTACTGATACTTAGTATTTTATTTTTTAGGTATGGGTATTTTTGTTGTTGTTCATCTTTCAATTACACGACATGTTCGCACAATTATAACTCAACCATGTACATGATCGAATACCTAACCTTTAGATCTTACGATAAGTAGTTGATTCATATTAAAATGATCTGTATTTCTTTCTACAATCATTTATTCATTAGAGTATGAAAACCATATGATGTCATATATAATAGCTATTTTATTTCAAAAAGGAATATTTTGATAGCAAAGACTTCATATTAGAGCCTTGAGAGATCCATTTCAAACTGAATCATTGGCAAGAATGACAGTATTATATACTTATAGGTTTTTGAAGCAAACTGTTCAGCTTGAATAGATGGTTATCTTTGCAAACTGATATTACTATGTATGAAATTCTAAATGTACACTCATGTAGGGTCCTTAACTTTGGAACGGAACAAATGTTCAGTTCATCTTGATGTTCATTGATTTTTTAATTGATATCTGTCTCTGACAAATAAATAATAATATGCTTAAACAATTTATCATATCATCTTTAATTTAAATTTACTCATTTGTTAATGTGAATGGCAACGTTCGATGGTGAAGTGATATAGTTACTTAACGAAAGAAGTGAATTAATCATCGAACACTATATCGCATGATAACAATTAAAGACAATTTAATGTTTACTGACCATTTGATTTTCAGGAAAAATTGGTATCCATCACTTTATGATTATCAAAATGGAGTGAAGTTCCAAGTAATAGGGTAAATGTTTGCTTTCATACGAGAAAGTAAAGTATATTTATGAACTGTATGTAGAAATTCAGAATTAATGTTAAAAATTTAGCTTCATGATGTATTGATCTATCTGTTGTCGGAGTAATGTGGCGCAAATCACATAAGGACACTTCTGTTGGACGCGTAACTATTTCAAGTAATCAACACGAAGCTACTAATCTGACTTTCGTGACAACCGAAATAATGAGAGAACTAACGACTCCCATGGGATGTGATCCCGTGTCATGGTGTGCATAACTAGAGATGTTACTTTGTGATATGCTGTTAAATTTCTATAGTACTATTCTTCAGTTCAAAAACAATGTGCAGTCATGATTTTTATAGTTTCAAGACTGAAATACTGAAAACTGAATTTGAAAGCCTCCAACAAACCGTTAGTAAAACATCGCACTTTCACTTTAATTTTATCATTACTGACTGTAAGTTGTAATATAAATTAAACTTAAGTGTTATCGATTCAATTTCATAAGTGTTTCTTCATATTCGATTGAAGGCTATGTAACCGATGATCGTCTAATATTACGTAAAAGGTCATTACGTTTATACATATAAGTGACTTATTTAAAATTAAAACACACAGCAAAGAATAACTTGTAGTGATAATTAATTATCAATGTTTAGTAAAATTTGATACCATCGATTTAAAATCAATTAAAACAGACACACGCATGCGAATAAACAAATTTCAAATCACCAACAAATAAAAACTTTATGGAGGTTACAAACCGACCTAGGTTAAATAGCCATAATTAACCTGAAACCACTGGATAGCTATTTCGTTCTACAGTAAAAGTTCGCTGTGCCACCATTTGAAATCGAACCGAAGACCTGTCTTGCAGCAGAATGCTTTACTTCTAGACAAATGATGTGGGATTTAGCAGTATACATATCTAACTTCAATCAATTCACACTATTTTGCTACCAATTCCTATATTCTTCACTCTGTACCTTACTCGTGATATAAAATAAAATTCGACAATCTCCTCAACCTTCATACTGAAAATGATGAACTTTTTTCTTCCCTTCAAAAGACAGACGATGATGTCCAGACAAAATAAACAGCTGTCATGAAGTAATTTATGTTATGTCATTAAACTAAACAATAAAAACAATACGACACAGTTAAGTGAAAAGAACATTAAATGAATTGGGAAGCAAGTTAATTAAGTTGTTTTAAGAAAATGAAAAGAATCACATATAAACTGGCGAGATCAAACTTTGTCATCTCGTATTAATCTTTATAAGTAGTGAAGAAGCAAAATAAAAAAATCAAAAGTCTATGAATTTGAAATGTCAAATAACAATACATGAATATATATTTCTTCTAAAATATCCAATAAAACTAAGCATAGCTTTTCAATAGAGAGACAAATGGAAAAGGAATGACAATAGGCAATATAGCCTTCTAAGCATACACTCTATATTATTATTAAACACAGATATACTCAAAGTGTTCAAAATAAACTACGTTAACACAGATAAACAATATTTTTAAATATGTGTTTATATATTTATATGTATAATCTGAAGAGTGTACTCTAAAAGTAACATAAAATTAAAACAGAACAACATGGGATAAGTTTTAATGTAGAACGATCATTGAAATGGATTAATGCGCATGAAACTCTAGAGAAGGAGTTATTGCAATCCTAATTATGTAATAATAACAACAATTCTATTTAAGGTATGATAATAAGTTCATGCGAAGAATAATTCATGAATTCAAATAATTGAATGTTTTTTATAATTATATCTATTTTGTCCTGAAAAGTGTTAAACAGCTGAAATAATATTTGATCTTTGGTAATGATTGATATTGTTCATATTATTATTAGCAGTAAAAGTACCAGAGCGATGAATAAGTTCACTAAACTCTTCTTCTTCTTCTTCTTCGTAACCCTCCTGTCCTACCCGGTCTTCCTCTTGTTCCAGCTCAACTTTATCATTATTCTCATGATTGTTAACTTGATCGCAACGATAAGTAGTAACACAATACTTTTCGCCTATTTGTTTCAAATTATTTTTTGAGGTTTGCATAGCAAAAGATAGTGAGCTGTCTAACGCATCATTGTCACCATCATCATCATTATCATCACAGCTATAATCACTAGCTTTACGCTTACGAGTTATTCGACCTTTATTGGACAATAAATCATCTTCTATAACTGAATATTTTTCCTTCATATTCATTGAAAGATTAGGTTTGGGATTATTTGATTGTTTATCTTTCATATTAGTACAATAAATAGCAGACGAGTCTAAATTATTTTTATCAACAGCAACTGAGTGGTGAATGACATCGTCAAAGGATATTTCTGTATTGTGACATAATTGCATTTGTTTATCCATAGTGTTCAGAAAATATCTTTCATTTTGACGCTTCTATGTGTGAATGTGGAAGGAAACACAGATGATAACTTATGGATGGAGATAAAAAATGAGAACAAGAAGGATACCAACGAAAGTAATAAATCAAAACAAATTTGAGATCGTGAAGATTGTTGGATTGCAATAAAATCACACACTGACCAATGTTAGATCATCATTGAAAACAAGTAAGCACCGGACGTCCGTCTCATCCTGGTATGGAACTCCTCGGCAGTGAGCATACAAAACCCGTAAGCAAAAAATGAACCTCAAACCTTTGCTTTCGCGAGCGAATTCTCAACCCCTAGATGACTAGTAACTGACTTCGACAGGAAATTTCAGGATTTTAAGTGAGTAGCCGTGACCAGTGGAGTTCAACAGTGTTGTCTGTGAGAGAGGTGCCCATTGAAGACGATGGACGTTTGTCTCGCAGTATTGTTGACTGATTAGAGTTAAACCTATACACCAGTGGGTCTTGACTCAGCGGTCTAGAGGTTAAGTGGTTACGGGGTCGTGGATGCTCACTGATGAGGAGTCATATATTAAGATGAAACGGCCATATAGTTCTTTCAAGTTTTCTAAAGGTTTTCCAACTTAAATCGGTCTGTGAATTTAACGACAACAAACTTTGGTTTTAAATGAATGTCACTATCTCTGTTCTCATTTGAAGCAACTTGTACATTATTTTTCTATATATATTAATTCCACCGATTCATTATATTCAATGCTGTTACCCACTGTAAATCTGTTTCAAGTTGCAGCTGACAATAAAAATGAAATGAAATTATTAGTTGATTTTCCTGTCATTATAACTGTTCTTGTCTTGTTTAAATGAAAAGCTAGGTCCATTGAAAAAATGTTTTTATCTAGAGAAATTATAATTATTATCTTGATTATGCAAACAAAAATTAGTGATTATATTCAAGAAAACCTAACGATAACAATAAAGTTTACCTGCACAGCATCTCGCCATTGTTGTATTGTTGAAGTGGATAGTTCATGTTTTTTCTTTTGTTCACATTTACGTTTCGTACACAATACCTCAACAAACGTCAGTATAGCCCCAGCTACTAACCCCATACCAATCATGATAAATACACCAGCCATATTGGTTAAACCTAAAGTTGCTGGACTTGATTCAGTTCGTTCACAGTTATTGGATTTGATATGTATCCATTTGGTATCCAATGTTTCCATTATACCTCCTAGTTAACATTTTTTAGATTTCACCAAAAAAGAAATGGATCAGATTACAAGTGTTAAGTGCTATTAAAATGTTCTGTCAAAGATGTGGAATATTTTTTTGTAGTTTTTACGGACGATATAATACTTTCTTTACTGAAAGTACCACTGAAATAGATTTTCAAAATTATTTACTTTTAAAATATTTGCTTGTTTATTTATAACAAGTCAACTCATTTGTTCCCTTTATATTTTTGTAGCCCTTTAATCTGACTCCAATTTGGTTGTATGATGATGTTAAAGAAATACACATCCGGGCTACCCTCGTATACGACTATCCACTTAATTCGCGTTAGAGAATAACGGAATAAAATAAGTCAAATACGAAAATAAATTTCGAATACGTATATTTCGTGCACTCGTTGATCCGGATGGACTTTCAGGATGAAAAGTAGGAACGCTGAGCAAAGCTCAAAAGGCGAGTAAGCCGACTCAGTTTGATCAACCGTGATTCAATACTTCCAGTAAGACAAAAATAAGCCACAGACACGTGATAGGTGGGAAAAGCAATGCATACACATGCACTTGTATAAAAATAGTCAAGGTTAATAAGAGAATAATAAAAAGGTCAAAATGTGACTCAAGGAGAACGAGTGATCTGGTTTGTCCGGATGCTAGATAACCCATGTGGGCCTGACATGGTACAAGATACTACAATATAAAACTAAAAATATATTCTGGTAAAACAAATCTACCATAGAAAATATCAAAGAATGAAATTAGCATGTAACACGAACAGAAGGTAAGAGAAAGTCGAAGAACAAGATTCAGATTCATACTGAACACACGAATCTCAAACAAAATATTTTTCTTTTTGTAGCTCGACATTATGCCATGACCGTAGACAGACAACCAATTGAAATTCAGAGTAGCTTAATAGCTGATTTATCTTAGTAGTAGTGTTCATCTACGACCCCACGAGGGACTGAATTCCGGACCTTCTATATCTCTCAACTGGCATTTGATTTTACACCACTGAGTCGGTATTCAATGGTTTACATTTTTAGAGTCGATAAGTTTTCAAGACTGTACAAGCTTAACCTGTTCTCATTCATACGGTTTAACGCATCTGCTAAACCAAAAAGTGATCCAATTGTCTTTTCAAAACGGAAATATAATAACTATAAGATGTTATCAACGTTAGACACTCATTATTTGCTCAAAAATGTTGGATGATATCATCTGAGCAAATTCTTTGAAGAGAAGTATTTTATAATTATCAACTTAATATTAATGACTGAACCAAGCATTTGATAATAAATCTAACTGTATGCCATTTTTCGTAAAACTTTTTCAATTCATACTGACAAATTCTTGTTTTAAACATAATAGTTTAAAATAAACATGAATTTGAATTGAAGTTCAGTAGCAAGGGTTCTAGATATTGGTGTTAAACTCAATCAATCGTGAAATAATACATAGTTATAAGAAAGACAAAATTCGGTCAGTTTTTCTGAGTTACAAAGATGCAAAAGTAATGCTGAAGATTTTAAGCCCAAGTGGATGCTTTTAGGGCACTGATTTCGTATAAATCATTTCATGAAAGCTTCCTGGTTGGGTTATACACTTCGAAGAACACAACATTAATAAAAGACATCAAAATAACTACTATCCATAAACATATAAAATATCCCATTCTATTTTATGTATGTGATGCTTAAATTTTCATGTCTAGTTAACTGTGAGGAACTGAATTAAATCCAATCGTTGACTAGTTTTAAAACAAGTAAATAAAAAAATTTTTAAACAGTTGACTAGTTGGAAAAAGCCAGTTTGACTTTTAATGTATATGGATTTTACTTTGATAACAGAAGAGCTATCGGTAGTTAACTCTGTCAATTATTACTCCGTGATACTTTTCAAAGAGTTTACATACTTTTGTGTGGAATGTCTGCTTGAATGGATATTATTCTCACATCAAAGTAAGCTGCTCAACTATGATGCTGATGATAAACCATGCAATGATTAGTTAAAATGTAACTCAAAGGAATGGAGACTTAAATTATCTGTATTCAAACTTATAATAAGTGAGTAAATTTAAGTCATCAGACTAATTTTTGTTAGCTATCTCTTTAAGCAGCACATCATAGTAATAAATCCTGACATTCGATTTATGCTTATAATTCGAGCAAGAGACCTAAGGAAACTTTTAATTCGGAAAGAATATCAGCTGTACATTGATATTCGAATTCAACATTAATTTTTATTTTCGAATTGATTCGTGGTTAAATGATTGTTTTAATTCTAAAACATCAAAATTCTTTTCTCATACATGATTGTACTTGAAAATAAAGAAGCATGCGTTTCATTTCGTTTAAAACTCATTACTTAAGTGCAAATATATATGACCACTGATTTGTGATAAATGTCATGTTTTTCAAGTCATTTAGTACCGATAGAATTCCACTGAGTAACTAGACGATTTAATAAACATGATATCGATTATTCAAGTGTACATAGATCTGTTCTAAACCGAGGTCAGAAGCTGGTCGGATAGCTCAGTAGGAATATCTTATAATATGAAGTTTAGTAGATTGTATCTTAATTTCACGTGACGCAGGAAATTCTTCAAGATTACAGGTACGCTTTACGGATGAGTGTCAAATAAAACAAAACTTATAGCCTGGGATACAACATTTGTTACTATTTTTAAGGATTTGTATTAAATCACATAATTTGTAACTCATCAGTAGACACTGTCAAAAATATAGTTAACTTCTTGCTAAACGTACAATGAAGACATTAGCTCGTGAAGCTAATGTATCATTAGAGACTGATTAAAAGCAGGCTTCATTGTTAATAACAGTGTTTATAGATGGTGATTAGATTCGTTTATTATCTGAAAAATATTGCTAACTTCATGTCAAGTAATTCCATTTTGAGTAAACATTGACCAAGACCCAGAAGCTAACAAATACACTGCAAGTTTCTGTGTTTTCTTAACTTATGTTAATTCGTTATATTGTACTCATGTTCATTACAATATAAATCCAATGTTAATTGTTACTAATCAGTAAAATTAAAACTTCTCTTCCAAAGTGCTGATATAATAAACAACTTACTTTCATGAAAATTTAACACTGCTTGTGACAATTCGTATAACCAGGGATTATTTTTTTTCATCACTAAGCCATAACTATTACGACCAAATACCTCACCAGCAGTAATCAATTCACAATCAATGGAAACTTCATAATTTAATCTTGCTGAATCCCATATGAAAGCTTTAAGTGAGCCAGATTTAATGGCCTTACATAGGAAAGAGTTAAAAAAAATTACGGTGACAATATTAACACATAAACAAACACTTTGATGTATTTTGTTGGAGAGAGGTATCGAAACGTCAGGCGCGCGTACCCAATTATAAAAAGTCTATTTGTAAAACCAACTTATAATATGGGTTCGACTCCCAAAGGGAGCGTCAATTCCCTCAAGATTGTACACCTTGTTGATAAGTGCCATATAGCATGAAATCTAAGTCAAACAGGGTTTGCTGAAGACAACGTCCAACCAAGAAACATTGAAACATATTTTACACAATGTCTACTCACTTAGGCTAGTGACTGAATTGCAACTTGATCTATAGGATTTGATCAACACGAAAGGACTAGACAAACGTAATATTACCAACTCAGAGATCAATCAACTGACCATACACCCTTTTTTGTTTTCTTAATACCTCATTTGTGAGAGATATCTTTTGAAGTATGAAATAAATATTGGTACAAATTTTACTATGTCAGCAGATTCAGGTCCAGTTCAGTTAATTATATTTACAATATTATTTTAGCTTATAAATTTGATACCGTTTTCTTTTTTACAAGAAATTGTCTTAGCTTAATGCATATGAGTTTACTAGCTCAAAGTACATCTCGTCTTTCTACATCTAGAAACAGTTAGTTGTCTAGAATCTGCATGCTTCAATGTTGTTATCTTATGCAAAGAATACTCTGATATTTGTTTTATGAAGTTTTCTTTAAATAAACATTTTACAAGTGAAAATTAATTTGATTCTACTTACCTGAATTGCTTCTTCTACTGAATCATAATTATTTGTTTCCATAACACGATACATGGTAGCGAATTCAACTTGTCGTTTAAAATACATTTCTACAGGACTACCACGAATCGTTGCAAATAGAAAATCTTTTTGAGGATTGCGAAGCTAAAAAAAAACAAGTCAATAAATTGAATTACTAATATCTTATTGTTCAATGTCTCATGAGCTTCTAAGTTATACCATAGTACATCAAAGTTAACTTAAAAGTCGAATAACTCACCAGTGTTCTTCAAGTAGATTACCCTAGTACTATTTATATCAGTAAACGATAATAATATGACTCGTAAAACTGAACCAACGTTCAGAACATGAATAAAAAAAATAAGGAAAATCACTTAAAATTCAAATTTCTAAATCATTTAAGTAGCCACTAAAATTTACGGTAATGAACATTTTCATATCAAAGATGAATATATCATTTGGTATAAGGTTTAGGATTTTTATGTGAGTACATTCACAAATTGAAAACAAGATACGAATAAATGTATATATACAATAGAATAACTTTAAGTGTTTTATATTTGTGATACGATTGAATTTATAACATAGCAAGGACAAATTAAATATGGAATAATGCAATTAATTAAAAGTGAGTCACAGAAAACGTTACTTGGAATTAGCTTTTTTTATACAATACAAAATATATGTATCTGAAGATGAAAGTTTTGAAGTGTTATGTTTTCTGAGATGAATTGCTTAACTGTGAAGTTTTCATTGTCTTTCTAGACAACATCATCATTACATACTTCAAAAGGAATTGAGCTATTAGAGTTTCTGCATGGCTAACCAATAATTTGTTTTGTTGAATCAGCATTGTGTTAAGTAGATATACCAGTTTTTCATTCTTCAAATCCTCTTAAAATGAATGAGTTCTTGTCTCTCATTGAATCATGGTCTGTTGTTAATGATCTCACACATAATTCTAGATGTCAAACTGTTAATTTTAGCCTGAGTCATGAACAGAACATAAACCTCCTGTTCGAATCCCATAAAGTTTGTACTATCGGAGATTTTGTAATAAAAATAGTGTCAAAAGTCATTTATATTGGTGTAAATTTATCCTCTGGTCTCTCTTGGTCTTCTCAAGTTTTATTGATATCGAAGAAAGTTTTTCGGTTGCTTTACTATACAAAGAGGCTATATGCTTTTAGCATTACTCGATACCTACGATTTGTAAGTTCTTGCATATTACCTATCATTATTCATTATCCCAATTATTCTTTCCCAGGCTTTTGAGAAGAGATTTTGCTATATTGCAAAGAGGCCTGAAGGCAGTTAGTAAGGTATGTGGAGACACTTTTGAAGTCGCTATGAATATGGTTGTGGATAGAAGTTTAAAATCTTGTAAACTTCTAGTAACTGTTGTCTTATGAGATACCAATCATCTACTTTATTCAGATCTTACAAGACGCCTGGATATTAGGATCCATGCACTTAAGTAAAGGTAAAAGAGCTCTAAGATAACGTACCTAGTTAATATACTATATGACGAACTGATTGAAGATGTGATCTAGTCAAAAACGTTTATGCATAAACATGTTGGCAATTAAAAGTTGCATAGACTTTTTTCCCCTTAGAAATATTTTATATAATTTGAAATAGTATATTTACTTATTTCATGAATGTGTGTATGTAGCAAGTGATTGGATTTTGTAGCAGTATATATATATATATATATATATATATATATATAATATTAATTAAAACCATTAATAATGGTAATTTGGTTAATCGTTGTATATATTTTTGTGGTCGTTATATGTACATTGAAGTATATCCTAATAATGTCTGGGAAAAAGAAAATAACAAAAGCTTCATGACCAGACAATCCAGCTCAGAAAATACAATACTTTTAAGAAGGGATTACTCTACCAACTCTCATTGCTGCAAGGAATGATAAGTTTTATTTTTTTTTCCAAGGATTCAGTCGATCCGTGATAATAATATGCTCAGTTAAACTAAAAGATAACTAAGTGTATTATTATTCTAATGAAAACTTTATATTTTTATTTAGACTATAAAATTTTAGTAGAAGTATAATGTATTTAACATAGAAATCCAGATAGCGTGTATACAGATTGATCATCAGAAATTTATCCTACAGTATGAATTATAACGATTAAACAAAAAAAACGGAATGACGTGTTTACGATTTAAAGTCATACAAACATCCTAATTGATATAAATAAACTAGAAATACTCCAACTTAACTATTTCCTTTTGCAGTTATTTCCTAAGTACACTTACCATAAAAATTAAAAAAAATAATGTTCAAAACTGATTAGCTGCTTATAATGTTTATTCTAAACTTGTTTAAGTTAGATAACCATTGAAAACCAAAGGAGCACTAGGCAGCTTCCTTGTTCTAGTATGGGACAACTTAGCAGTTAGCATCCACGATTTCGTCAAGCTAGAATCCACTATTTTCACTTGAACACTTTATTCACGGTTAACTATATAGATGTATGCTTCACTCTGTTTGCACAATCTATTCCTCTTGATGCTCTCAGACCACTTTTTCCAGTTGTCTCTTACACAAGCTGATGTTATCCATGAAAATAAAGTCTAAGTTCATGCTGAAGATAGCTTTTATGTTTTGTTATATAGTTTCTTCATTTAATTGCTAATTTTTACGTTACTGTACATCGGTAACTGGATGATGTATAATCAAGACAAGTTTTCAAAAATAATACCAACTGAACAATCTAAGTTTAACAATCCTATTAAATATCAAACAAGATGTTTTCGGAATGTGGGTTGTTATGATTATCAAGTGTTTTGAAATTTTCTACAGGTATTGAAATGAATTAAGGGACATACTTGTATATCTCTAACAACTTTGTATAAATACTTGACGGATAGACCGTTTTAAAATCCAAACAATCATCTTCATTCTCATGCATCTTATCATGTAGCTTATTATCAAAAAGTCTAAATATTTTATTATTACAATTAGGACTGAATTAAATATAAAAATATTTATAAAGGAATCGAAACTTACTAAGATTAAAAGATTAAAAAGTTCTTTGTTTTCGGTAGATTTCAGGTATTGTTAAATAAGGTTATCGGGTGAATTTTCTAAAATAATGATAACATATGGCTCGGCCTGGTTGGGTCTGAATAATAAGGCTATTAAGGTTCAGTGTATCAGTGTTTCAAGTATACTTCAACTGTATTCGACGCTGAATTTTACTGAAAGTAGTTTATATTTCAATGGTAAAATCATCAAAATTGTGAAAAAAGTAGAAAAAAGCTTTGGAGTTGTAAACCGTCAAAAAACGAAGTAGCTAATATATTCTGGGAAACATTTATTTAAATGCCAAATACTTTATATCTCATTTATACAAGTCAAAAAACAAATAAAATGTATTTTTACATTATCAAGAGCAACTTTACAACAGTAACTCACTCGAACGTCATCAATTCCAGAAATAGACGCTTCAGGTCTATCCAAAACAAGAAATGCAGCTAAATTGGCTGTATAACTAGCTACTATTATCATAGCGAATCCAGCCCATACCATTCCAAGAACACGAGCACTAAATGAATGTGGAGTACCTTCACCAATCCCAGAATTTAATAATACAGCCCAAGCAAAGTACACTGCACTACTTAAATTCATACCTTCTTCGTCTTCTTTTTGTTGTTGTTGTCGCAGGTGAGTTAGAGTTAGTGTATTTTTGTCATTAGTTTGTTTTTCATTATCAAACTGGCGTAAAGTTGAATGACTGCCACTTCCATCGACAGACATATCAAGATCAGAGTTTGTTCGACTAAATGGTGAAAAGTGATCGAGCAAATATAATACAAAAGCGACAACATGTACAGATAAGGCTACAAGAACCCATAGTGAACTTTCAAAAGGTTGAAGGAATGAACCAAGATTGGATCGAGCACGTTCCTATGAGAAAAGTAAAGCACACCAAAGTGTATATTATATATTGCATCGTAAAATGCTTTAAATGAATGTAGTATCTTATTACATTAGGTGGAAACTAGAAGTTTTGAAATCACCATTGACCCTAACTTTAGCAGATCGTTTGTCATGGATGCACACTGCTAGAGAGTTCCATACTAAAACAAAACGGCCGTCCAGAGCTTCTATGTCTTCAATGGTGGTCTAACACTGATTGGTTCATGATTTTAGTGAAACTCAACATTCTCCACAACCCTATACTAATATATATCTGTCATATAATTTGGAGTATTCTATAGTTCATTTTGAAGCAGAAACTTGTGACATTAATTTTATTTCGTTTTATGAGCAGTTAGGGATGATCTGTTTTTTTGGCTTATCGACTACTTTGACAGTTGAAGTAATTAAAACCGTGAAAATTTGACATTAATTTGAAATTGAATCAACCAATCTCCGCTTATAATTATTAATTATTTCTACAAATCTCATTATCCGTTCACTAAACATGACCCTGCTTAATCATAAACCTCAGGTCTAATATTGTATGTATGTGAAACGTGTTTGTGAACCGATCATGATTAGTAGCAATTTTCCAAACTACACTGAACCAAAACATAAAATAAAAACCATGTAATTTAAGGTTTACAATTAACCATTTAAATGTTATTTCTTACATCACCGAATGACCGTAGCTAGACAACCGTTAAAACAAAGAAACACTCGTTTCCCCCTATTACGGGGTCTCTCGGTAATGTTTATCCACAAAAGATGGTTGGGCAATAGTGCGAAATGACTGGGATTAGAAGTATAAACCAGTTAATGCTAACTCAGCGGTATAAAGACCAGCAGCTTGCCACAATGTCTAACGATTCTGGATCCGGACCCTGATAAGTTCGTAGAAGCACACTAATATGGAGTCCTACATCAGAACAAAACGGCCATCCAATAACTTCTGGTTTCCAATGGTTGCCTAATTGAGATCAGTTTGTGTTGGAGGCTGTAAAATTCAAAAACCCTTACAAAACTCTACACTTAATATCCAAATAACAGATCAAAACTTACTCTCTTCACTAGAATAGTTATTCCCAAATATTTGAATGGCTTAGTGAATTCAACTCGTGCAGCTCTTTCCGGTGTAATAGAGACTGGTGCAACAGCTAGGTCAGCTGTACCAGACAAAATTTCACCAATAATACCAGTCCATTTATGTGTTTCATTTTCATCAACATCACCTATTTGTCCATCACCAACTAAATGTAAATCATATGTGAATGGTGTAGAAGTTAATTCTAGTCCAGTCCTATTAGCCAATAATCGGAGAAGATCAATACAATAACCATAACAGCAATAATGTTTCTTGACGCCTTCAAAATTGATGAAGAAAAAAGAAAAAAACATGAACAGATAAAAATATCTGACAAGGCTGACGAGTCCCAAACAGGACGAAACGCGCGTCCTGGATTCCACTGCTAGCCACTATCCATCTTTGCTTATAATGCTTGTAAATTAAGGCAATATCGAGGCATACGCACAGTATGCACATATGCCAATAAGAGATTGATCAATTTCAGTCCAAAAACATCAATGGGAAGATTCAAATAAATCAATATCAAGTGAAAAAATGACTGTGTTGAAAAAACGGTAAAATGAAATTAAGAATATCCAAAATATCGAACTTCATTAGTTGGTTATAAGTGACAAGTTTTATCTTTGAATTTGAAGTTCTATAACTATGGAAAATTGGATTATCAACCAGACACTGACGTACAATTATGTAACAGGTTTAGTCTCAACCTTACTTCAAGAATTAGCTCTATTCGAAACTAAGTTATTTAGTAAATGGTATCAATAAAGAATGTTAGTGATGCTGTGAAATGTGCTGATTGATTAAACACCATTTATGCACTTCAGGAGAATTTTAAAAAAATGATACTTTGATCACAAGCGCATTAAATAAGAGATTATGATTAGGTTTTAAGGAACTGAATGGATCAGATTGACAATGTAAATTGATTATCTAATGAACTGAACAAGAGTTCAAATTCTTAATGACAATAAAAACGTAAATGGAAAAGCAAAGTGGCTATTGACTTATTTCTTTAGAGAACTGAGGTAAAAGAGTATAATTTTGCCATAAATTAATGATTCAAACATGCATAATCACACAAACAAGAATACACAGATCACTTAAAATATTAACTCATGCTGTTTTAACTATTCTTATTACTTCCAGAATATTTATCAGCTTACTATAGACTTGTATTTTTTTACTGATTCCTTATAGCTGTACATCAACATATTATCGTATTAGCACAAGCTAATTGAAATTAAAAAATCTAGAGCTGTAACTGTGAAAACCTTAGTACTTCAACAGGGAAACCATGTATCGGATGGCACAAAGACGATTGATGAAGGATTAGTTAACACTAGAAATACATCAAAATGGTATCCCAACAAACTGATTTTTGTAATGACTTCTTTGCAGCCAGATTAACAGTTAGATCTGCTTAAGTTGAACTGAGTAGTACTTGATATTAATTAATAGCACAATGTTTAAACCCGCTTACAATATTAATAAATTAATCCCTTGTAATCAACAGATTCAACTCATTTACTAAGTTAGATTATTACTTCTTCCTAAGATATGATTACACGTCATAATCGATTTTTTTAAAAAAAAAACGTTTTCCATGCCACTAGCATTTCAGATATTTACGTTCTTCCTCTCTATGTCATTTATTTTGCCTTTTCCTATGATACTCAGTTTATAAACCAGTTTGTCATTGTCAACAGAATTTTGGATGAATGGAAAATACAATCAGACGGATATTTTCGAGCATTTGAGGGCGCAAATGATCAGAGATACTAAATAATGAATGCAGTATCCGCTGAGCCACAAATAGCCACACGTTTATTTAATGTGCATGTGAGGTTATATCGAGGCAACCCACTCATGATACACGTATAGTAGCACAGACTGATCAGTTGCTGTACTTAGCACCAAAAACAGGAAATTACGCAACCTTACTTTTAAGGAGTAAACATTGAAAATTTAGTCACATGAGCCAGAAGATTAAACTTCATAATTAAGTATAGTAACTACAATAAAAATGAGCAACTATACAATCAAATAACATGATTATTGTCAGTAAAGAAGATTGTCATGTAATGTCGTAGACTGATTTAAGTTAGAAATGAACACCTCTGAATGCCGGCTCAATGGTCTAGAGATTAAGAATCAGAGCGCGAGAACGGAAGTCCTAAGTTCAACTCCAGCATACAGGGCTATGGGTGCGAAATGCTGAATAATTTTGTATTAAGAAGAAAGAACCGTCCAGTGCCTTCAAGTTTTACAGTGGTGGTCTAACTTAGATCGGTTCATGATTTCAAGGAAGCGTTATTATTAAACCAAATTACCAAGTAAAGTCTAATAGACTAACAAAATTAGAATTCAACAATGAGAGTTATCATTTTAAGACAATTATCACTAATGGTTTTAAGTATAGTTTATCATGCTTTCCTTCTGTACAAATAGGTCACATCAGTATTGCTCAATGACAGTGACTTCAATAACAGTCTTCATTATCCAGCGATTATTATTAGTGACACAAATACACTAGTGGTAACGTTTCAAGTCGTGAAATTGGCTGACATGAGTTCAAACATACCAGGGAGCACCAGGTCTCTTCGTGATTACAGAGATGCCCTGTTGATGAGTCCAAACTAACACCAAATTCGGGTCCAGGTTCTCCGTTAACTACCTTTGATCACCGTGTAACCAAGACCATTAATGACACCACAACTTCATCGATAGAATTCGATCAGTATTGAAAGACTAGACACAACGTAATTCGTCACTACTCAGTGGATCATCAGTTACATTAAGTATCTATTAAATATCGCTGTTCATGCCTTTCTTCAAATATCTTGATTTCCAGTTCCTCTATGAACATCCATGTCATTGTCGCTAATTAAAGTATGTGTAAACTATTTGTAATCTGTCTGTAGACGATGAAAAACGTTCAGGTAAAAGTGATTAGTTAATTTTATTCTGCAAGTTTTGTCATCCTTCTTTTGTTTAGAACTACCAAGGTAAATAAATGTATTCATAATAGTTACAAATGAAATGTTCGTCACTTATTTACTGAAAGTGAGAAAATTAAGCAATAACACAACAATTTTCAACATATTTTTTCTAAATGATTGTTCAAAAATGTATATAGGAATAATAAACAGGTCTTTATCTTTGAAATAAAAACGACTGACCTACCAGTAGTCGGGTCAGTATGAGTACATTCAATTTCAGTTTTAAAAACTAAGGGATCATCAGATTCATTACACTTATCAGTTAATTTTGGACGAGTTTGTACGAATGGTATACTTTCAATAGTTACAACCTAGAGAAAAAAAGAATTAAACAAATTAATTTTAATAGAAGAGATATTGTACTTTAAAGCAATCAGTAATACACATCTTCATTACGGAAATACTATTTATAACCTTATTACAATTGTCACGGTTACCTTGGAAAATCATTTCGAACAACACTTTGGTCAAATTAAATTATTTGCATTATCAAAAATGTTAAAATTAAACACTAAACAACCGCAAAGACTGAAACACATTTTACGCAATGGTTGAGTATGTTTAGATCGTAGTTTTTACTCGTTTGATTATAACACTCTTGTATGAAACGATAACTTGAATCTAGATTTGTTGCTAAATCACTGTTGTTAGCAGGTTCATTCTGAGATTAATAATGAATTATTGTTCTCATCTGAATTAAAACATGCATCACCTAGTATACTTAAGAAGTAGTGTTTTCTCTTCGGTAATATTAATCATTGGAACTGATCCATTTGTGTCAGAATACATAGCGAACTGATCATATTGCCTCAATATAACCTTGCAGACCCAAGTTTTATTATATTTGAATTGTGGATATTACTGGCGATCTTGACGTAGTAGCTAAGTTGATAGGGAGTCGGCATTTGGAATTGTTGGTCTCAATTCTTCGTGTAAACACCAACGGTACGATGCAGATACAATCGACTGATGAGTTCCAAACAGAACACAAAGCATGTCCTGGATCTCACTTTACCGAAATCCAAATACATTAAACCTATCAATCAATGTTACATATATATGAACATTTTCAACTGAGCAAATAACTGGATAAATCGGATTCAAAAATCCAATACAAAAGTGAATTGATCGAATTATGTTTCACAGTCACTCGTGTGTTCTTTTTTCGAAGAATAAATGATGTTACATTAGATAAGACATGTCGTACAAGTTAAAAATACCAAATCATATTAAAATTTTATTTGTTTTCACTAAATACTATAACTCATGAAACAATATTCCTACCACAAAAAGCTTATTTATCGTAAAATGTGATAAAAACAATCATTAATAATAATAAACATTTGATTCTAAATTCGATGTTTGCTTATTTTTATTTCTTAAGAATTTTTAATAGTTGAAATCATGAGTCGATCCAAGCTAGACCGTCATTGAAAATCTGGAAACACTGGACGACTGTTTCGTTCTAGTATGGGACTTTTCAGCAGTGCGCATGTACGATCCCTCACGCATTACAAGAACCTATGACCTTCGGTCTCTCATGATAACACTCAACCTCAAGACTCCTGAGCCGGCATCAAACGACGTTAATGTCTAACTCCAATCAATCCATGATCTTGCACAACCATTCATTTATTGTCTGAGGTAGATGCCTGTCTCTACCCGACAAGGATTGGACTCCAGTGGCCATGGCTTCAACCATTGTTAAAATTAATATTCTGTTTTCTCGTTTTATTTTCAGAAAAACTTTACCATAAAATTAGCCTGATCTTGTGATCAATATTCAAAGGAGGAAAACATTTTACACATTTACTTTGATTATTACGGTTATATACTCTTCTATTGCACGATTAACTAAATTACTTTATTTTCATCTCACTATATTTCGTAAAGTTAGTTTAAATCGATATGATATTTTTGTGTCCATTAATTTGTAAACATCTAGCTAATTCACGAGTTGATCTAAGCCAGATCACCATCGGAAACCTAGAAGCATTGGACGGTCGTTTCGTTCTAGTATGGGACGCCTCAGTAATGTGCGTCTACGCTCTCGCGTGCCGGGATTCGGACCCAGGACCTTCGGTCTCGCGAGCGAGCACTTAACTTCTAGACCACCGAGTCGATATCGAACAGTTTTCGATGGTGTTCTAGCTTAGATCGACTCGTGAATCCAACTGTTCAAAATACTACAATACAAAAACTCCCTTACTGATATATCTAATTTTTTAATTATGTGGTTTTGAAACTTATCAAAATTAACTCACAGTTTTCAATCATTTCTTATTCAGTGTCACATTTGACATTTAATTTTCATTCAAACATTAAAAAAACGAGGTTCAGAGAAGCTTTCTCTTTTAAACGATTATATATATATATATATATATATATATATATAAATTTTATTAAATTATTAGTTTCGTGAGGACATATCAACAAGGAATAAACACGATGTAAGAGAAAGATTGTAGTACGGGATTACGTAATGTAAATGATAACAATAAAACATTGTGTCTATGAAAATAAAAAGAGCCTGGTAAAATAATACGTTAGCAACGGATTATAATGTGACTGAAGTAGGGTGATTAAAATATTTTGGTTACAATAATCAAAGGTAATAGAAGGGTTAAATCAAATGTAGTGATAACAGAAACAAATATAACTAGAATTATCAGGATATGAGACACAATTAAAGAGAGAGAGGGTATACTTCCAAATACGAACTATAATAATAATAACAATAATAATAATAATAATAATAATAATAATAGGTAATGATAATAGTAATGGTTTAAGGCCAAAGTAACAACAAGGATAAGAATTACTATTGAATGCGTATGACATTTTCATTTATTCAATAGAGTCAATACATCAGATGCAGTCCTAAACACCAATGGGAAAACTCAAACAACTAATACAAAAATGTATCACTTATATTATTTACAGTAACATTTAAAATGGCACCAAATCTCTCCAGTGTCAAATTCGGATATATAACTAGAAACTCATAAATTGACTAGCCATAATAGACAAGATATTCTTGCCGAAAATTTTAAGATGGTATCTATCTACCAGGAAATGCAAATAAATGAATATAATCGATTTCCATTAGAACTACTAATATAAAATAAATAAATGCAAAATATGTTGATTATACTGATCGTGTAAGTGAAAGTTTATTTATTTATTTATTTTAACACATAGATATTGGTACAAGGAGGCACCAAGTACATATGCGCCACACAAATCGCATTTGATATGTGTGGGGGCCGGGATAATGCCTGGGTGCCCAAACCGAAGTAAAAGTCTAAATTTCATCAGTCTCCGATTACTATTAATGTTATGATTAAACATAAAAATACCATTGACGTGACGGATAGGAAAATTCTGAGATAGAAAATCGATAGAGTTCCCGCAAAATGAATAATTTAAGGCAAAATCCTCTATAATTATACTTCTGAAATTCCCAGAAAGGATTGTACTTCATGTTACTTCAAATTACTAACCAATTGTTTTTCATTCACAAGACTGTCTGTCAGGTTGAGAGTCATAGAACTTCATTGACTAAGTACCATTAGTACTCCACAATTACAATAAATTAAACATACTCAACAAGCAAATCTAGGGAACTATGATATATATGCTAAATGTGGCGAGTTTAGTTGCTGATATTGCTTCCATCGTGATCTGAAATAAAGTGAGAATATCCGATTAAAAATTTCATAGTTTTGGTGTTAATATAAACATTTCGTACGTCAGGTTGATATCGAATTCATTCAAAATTCTTTACAAATTTATCACTTATATGAGGACTGAAAGGAACACTTAATGTGATACATTACAAAATGTATGCTAACCAGTTAACTAAACAAATATATGTAAATATTAGTACAATCAACTTTACAAAAAAACTTTCGATAATAATCAAAATATTTGTGAAACTTTGAACATAATACATACTTTTAAATGTGTTTTCTTTTTAAAACTAATCGGTGCTGCATGTACCAGTCGTTTTTCAGTTTTTTGACATTTTCCATCATTAGCACGTTGTATACATACCAACTGTTGACGTTTTACAATACTATTACCCGGCCAAATTAATTTACTTAAATTGATTGACAACAGAGAAGGATGAGGTTCATCAGATAACCATTCCATAGGGGTTGGCTTTCAATTAAAGATTGAAGATAAGGAAATTTTAAATAATGACACAAAGTCATTTTTGATTTTTAAAAAACTCAATATGGCTTATGACTTATTCATTGCTGATTTAATTCTCCAATTCAAAACAAAAGGAAATGTAATACTCTGGTAATAATAGATCAAGGATTTGAGTTTCTAGACAGTGACATCTCATGAGGCTTTTGATAGAACATAACTGAGTTTAGGCCAACATGTAATTCTGATGATCATATGTTTTGTAGTATGGATAGTGAATAGGGAAATCGTTTCTCTACTTTGAATTGTAACAATTTTTTATATAGAGGAAAAAAAGCCAATTGATCATCAAGCAATTCAAATGGGACTTTATTTAATAAATGACTTCTGAATTAACTGGTATTCTTGGAGGGATGAATAAGAAGCTATCTGTATTGACTGGTCAAAGAAAATAGGAACAATGGTTTACTCTAAGATATATTATGAGTCATATTAGGGGTTTAACAGTCTTTCTAATGAGATTTTTTATCAACTAACGATAACTATTTTTAACATCTTAGAAACAATCAACAAATATATCTGAAAAACAAGTTTATTTTACTGATTAATATTTCTTTCTTCATTTGAACAATTCGATATTAAAGAACAAATGAAACCCGTGTTGTCATTGCAGAAAAATTAAAGGTATTTCAGGGAAGAGGATTTTTTCAATAATTTAATCAATTTAAGCGGTTCAGTAGTATATAATTATTTAAAATGTATTTTATTTCTCCACAAAACAGAAATAAAAGTATATAGAAAAAGTGTACCAGGAAATTGAAGGAAAATTATAAGATGAAATTGAGTATATGATAAAGGTGAGGACGAAAACAAGACGTGAAAATGTAAATATCAAATAATTAAAATTTAAAAACGTCAAAATAAAGTATAAACAGTTAGTTTTCGGTTTATGAAAAACCAATTTTCAGGTTCATAGTGAAATTAGATCTTGCTCTCTGAGTTCAGGTTAGAGAGGTTGGATTGTTAACGCTACTGCCATATAAAAGGTAGTGGTTTTCACTGCCTTTCAACTCAGTCATTTGACCGTGTATATAGTTTTCAAGGATATTTCTGAGCAGTAAGGACAGGTGTGACTGAAGTCGGCGAGATACTTAAATACGGAATCAGCGATTGCTTTACATTTTCCTTCCAAATGTCATACGAAGAAACACGGATGAGGATAAAATCCAGTCACGTTCGCAATTTTGACCTTGAACCTGTCGACTAGACAAACATGTACAAAGGGACTTAGGTTTCTTCATTTATTCTTGTTAAATAATTTCTGTGAGACAAAAATTTAAACCTCCAGACAGTTCTGTGCAGATTATTTTTTTTCAGAATACTCGTCATCGGAGTAAAAACTACGATGAAACAGTTATTAAATACAACCTAGTTTCTAAATGTTATTCAGAATAAGTTCTTTTTTTTACGAAAATCACCTTTGATCTGAGGTAATGGAGAACATTTTTAGCTCAGGATGAGGATGTTGGACGTTTCCCGGTTTCTGAGCTAAACAATTTAAATGGGAAGCTTCCATTGTCCTTCTGATCAATATCATCAGTACGTGCTTGAAAGGAAAATACGTTGTGCAGAAGAGCAATCAAAGCTTCACAATTAAACCATTCCACTCAAAGACCATAACACCTACAACATACTTTCCATCTGTTTGTAAAATAAAATATGTCATAGTAGGTTGATAACGAACGGCTTAAATATAACAATCAACTTATAAATAGGAAATGTTTTTTAAAATATAACACAGAAATGTAAACTGAAACGAATCGCTAATCATATAAATATGCGTATATACTTGATGTACACCGTAACTTCCAACAGAAACTAATGTTGGCCGTTCAAACTCAAATGATTTTTGTGCAGATAAATTATTTATGTCCTGATTAGTTATTTGAGCATTTACAATATCATAAATTGGTTTAATACGATCACCATATTCATTGAATTCCAAATGACCAGTTCGACCATCAGTTAAATTCATTGCTAACATGTCTCTGAAAGTGAAATACAAAAATGTTTAAAAATCTCCACGTGATCTATGGTGATACATTCATTCATTAACTCCCCTTAGATCTTCGGGTTTAAATTATCTTACATGTATTTTTCACGCCATGAATTCATTCTTCTCGAACTAACCATCTATATCTGACCTTTTCTACTACTTCTTTTTCAGCATTTGTCCTGGTAATTTCAACTTGCCTGGCTGATTTGGTATCGCAACTTGAACTAGTACACAAATGTTAAAGCTGACTGAGTAGGAACAAATAATGCAAGTGAAAAATAACGTCATTCATCACAATAGTTCTTTGTTCTTTAGCAATTTTTTCCAACTTAAATAACTTATCTTAGTGAAGGTTTATTCTTTTTTTCATTGGTAAACAAACAAAAAACACGTCACCAACCTACATAGCTGCCACACTTCATATCTACAGCGTCAGAGGTCAAACATAGAAGGCACCTTATGTTCAGTAATAACTCACCAACATTCTCAAAATAAGTAATATCCACAAACCTTATAAACTTTCTGTCCTATTGTGAATCTGTTTCATTCCAAATATGGCGGACGGCCGTTTGATAGTCTTCTTATCTTTGTAAAGACATTCATTGAGCCTTTATTTAGTTATTCAGAAAAAAAATATTATTCGAATCAATAATATTTTATGAATTTATTAATTTTTATTCGTAGCTCAAGGCTGATTTGTTCAACGAAGTGTTCCTAGAATCTAAAGGCAGTTTCATATACCAAAGTTCCAATATTTCTCATATTAAAATCAGTATGTAATACAAATTACCAACAAATCTAATGAAATATTATTAACAAAATAAAGTTTTCACTTTAGATTAAAGATGACAGATGGCATTTCCAGTTTATTGTCGATGGAATGTTAATTGATTATTGAATCTAATTTTATTGAGATGAAGATTACATCTCGATGTGATCTTTGCATTCAATAGTTAAAAGCTCTATCGATAATTTAAAAATTTGCTTCTAATTATTTAAATTGTCAAGCAAAACAGACTAGACCCTTGAGTGGGTATCACATCCAATAATTTATTTTAAGCTGTTTATCAATGTTGTCTAAAACTAAACTGTAAACATAGGAAATACAATATTAATAAATAATTTGTGATAATCAAACCAAAAAATACAGTTGGGTTGAAAACTTATGTAAAATTGAGCACTGAAAGTATTTCATTTAAGTATATTTTGGTGTCGAATGAAAATGTTTATGAAACAAAAAGCAATCCTTTGTTTTACACTTTAAAGATTTGTAATCGCATAGTGAGAAATCTGGTAATACTGTCTTACCAGCTTAACTCACCGGAAGAGCTTGGCTGCGTAATCCTTCCACATATAAGTCGATTTACCAGGTAGCTTTGATTTTGATTGAATTTCTGAAGGATTATCACTACATGCTTTAACTGAGTAAAGATGTTTCATCGCATCATAATCAGTACGAACTAAGTGAAGAATGCTCTGTGTGGCGATTCTGACTGCATCGGCAACGTGATCTAGTTCGGTAACTTGAAGTAACCGGACACCAATCACACCTTAACAACGAGTTGTTATGTAAAATAAAAAAAGATTTCTGAAAATATCAAACAATGGCAAATGTAAATCTTTATAATATTTTAAACCCTACTATTTTTGGTAGCATGAGAATTTCTTAGTCTAAAATTTTGAGAAAGATAGTAGTCCAAAGTGGATTTCACCCAGATAAAAAGTACTCAAACGATGGGATTTTCTGACAGTGTTTGGTATCAGTCCGTGAATTCGGTTGAGTATTTTAAAGAATACTGACTTCACACCCGGAGTGTGGGTGATAAGTTAATGTCTTAGAACTTTAGGCGACATCGTTGAAAATCATTTTCATTACGGTAAGCTCACTTGGCAGTTATTTCGTTCTGTTCATTTATTCTCGGACTAAACTTCATTCCGCTCATTTCTCCGTTTTACTTGTTGTCTTTAATTTGATTGTTTTAGCATAATTTTTACTCCCACACGTTTTGTTTCTGGCTGTGTAGGAAAGACTTACAGCAACTTTGATTGATCCACGTATATGATAGGTTCTAATTTCACTATAATCAAATGATTTAAAATTAATAATTACACGTTGGATATTTTAATGTCCTCTTGCTTAGTATTTTCCTTACCATAGCAAACGGTGAAACGATATGATTATAGTAAAAGTAATGTGACTAGTCATAATTAATAAACGGCAAGTTGTTAAAAAACACTGCAAAATAATATCCAGTTGAATTTCGAGTGAAAACACCAGATCCATCAGACTTTTGTTAACGACTCTTTTGAAAGCTTTGTGGATTAGTTTCACAAAACACATCTCTTTAAAATTTTCATTAAACAAAGTCAAAATAATTATTAACTTACCATTTGGTATATTTGAAGCATCCAAAGCCTGTTCAGTGACAATCCAAGCCCATTCTGCCTCCAGCATGCCCAGTTTACGTGCAGCCAAAAACACATACTCTGCAAACTTGCGGCGTAAAAACAGCAAAATAACTCGTGTTTGTTCGTTTCGAACTGGTTGCAGGAGACTGATAAAATCCTTCATTTGAGCAGCATCCTCTTCATCTGTATTGATAGCAACTTGACGAGTAATCTTTGAAAGTATTTAACAGAACTACCTTCACATTACAAAGTAGCAAGTGTTCAAGGAGACTAAAAGGCACTCAGTAATATAAAATATTTCGTATAAAACTACAGTATATAATGCTTAGAACAAATTATATTTCCTTGGACTCAGTAATACTGAAGAATCACATAATCTTTAGAGATGACGAAAGTGATAGTGGTTAGTACCCAAATCCCCGCACTTTAATTCTTTAACCATTTTATCTAGATCATATGAAAGAAGATATATGACTCAATCTAAAGAGTAAAATTTCAGTTCTTTCCTGTTGTTTTCTATGAGAAATTCGATATTATATACATTAGAAAAATAAATATTTACCGTTGTAGTATTAGTTTCTAACGCTAGCTGGACCATCTCAAAAATGTGAATGAAAAGTAAAGCCCACATAAGGCGCTTATTTTATAAATAAAATCTCTAGACAAATGCGATTTTCTCTGTGCAGTAATCCAATTCTTTAATCAAAACTAATAACACTTCTTTCCATACTAATACCTATAAATTAGAAACGTCAGCTTAACTTAAATAAGTAGTGGTGTTATTATAGTTAGTTAAAATATTGTGGAAAGAGTGAAGAATGTTTGTAAAGATTATGATTTATCCAAAAAAAACATGAAGCGCTAATTTTTCGACATTACTGAAAGAGCAAACTAATAGGTTTAGTAGACTGATCGCCACAGAAGTGGCAGATACACCAAAAACTAAATGAACTGAAATAGTTTGGTAAAAATATCGTATTATAATTGTAGTGACGGCCTTCTGTTTTCTGAATAATAGTACTGCGTTTGTTACAAACGTAATTACTTCTTTTGAACTTTGATCTTGATCTCAGAATAACTGCTTTACACTCTAAAATGTGAGTGCATTGACAAGGATGCCAATCCGACACTGATATTTTTAATATGCCAGTCACCCCAAACAACTTACATCAGTCATAAAAAAGTCTTGTCTCAATATAAATTAAATTGTGACAAGTTAAAGTGTTACCCTTTTTGTTTTATTCTTGAAATCAAAAATATTTTCAAAATTTTGACTGATTATCGTGTTTAAGGACTTACGATAATCTTAACAACATATAATATTAGGGGAACCAGATTCGGAAAAACGGAGGGTTGTATGATGAAGATCTCTGGCATAGGTAAAACTTTAGTTCAGAATTAACATAATATCAAATAGATAATCAATATATCATGCTTTTAAAACGTTAATGCTGCTAAGTTATGCCTAACTGATGCAGTTTAACGTTTGTATATTTGCTAAGTCGTATCACTTGCTTAAATGTAAACGCCTTAAGTTATCCTGTTGAGTCCTCAGCTTACGACCTTTTTTATGTCTCCAGCTTAAAAATTCTCACACATGCTACCCTTCAGACTCTTACGACCTACGATGCATAACTAGGCTATATGTAACCTTGTCAAAGACTAACCGCTGCTCATTAACTAAATAGCTCAAACTGTAGCTTCATTGATGGGCTGGGTGCTACTAGTTTTTCGGATGCCTTTAAGTGAAGACAGATAACTTATGTGAAGACATCCATATTTTATATGGGTTTAAGAAGGTTGAGTAAGAATTAAAATATCGAACCAATCGATGTGGCACGAACACAACGCATGAGTAAACATATCACTGCCTAATATATTACTGTTTCGTCTGGTCTACATTTACTCAACATGAGATTTCACTGATTTCAAAGTAAAAATATTACATGGCTGCAAGTCTTGATACATCTACGTAAACTACCTTTTCCATATGTTACATGCAACTGAGAATTATTTTGTTTATCATTGCAATGTAGGTTCGATAAACAACGACTTATGATGATTGTCATTCACACATGAAAATCAAACAAATTAAGTACCTGAATATGTTACTTGTAATTAGTAAAGACAGTCATTCCGAGTGATCAATGTCCAAATCTGAAGCTCTTACCAAACAGCCGACTAGACTTTAAAACTCCGACAACACCAAAGGCGGAATTTTCCGAAAAATTACTTTAACTTACCAAAGGAAACAAAGTTAACCGTAGAAACTAAGCTATAAGAACAGGTGAGGAAAATCAGACGATCCGCCTTCTTCCTTATAATTATTTTTGACGATTTTTAGGGGCTATTTTGTCATGAAATGAGTCTTTTTTAATTTCAAAAGCAGAATAAGGAGAGGTAAACTGCAACAATTTTGGATTATGAAACGCGAAGAAGACTGTCATTAACCAGTAGAGGCTTTCTGTAAGTTGTGAAGTCTGAATTGAAGAAGCATGTAATTAAGTTTAAAAAGTTGTGGATATTCTATATTTTTCCCATCAATATTTAATGAGATGAGAGTTTAGATCCATATTAATTCAATGACAAACCACTAAAGAAATGACCATTGACTAACCTTGAAGTCTATTCCTCTCTGAGAAGCGGACTCTAAGTACGACAACACTTTTTTGGCATCATGGTCATCTGAATGAATTACACAGACTTCGCGCCAACCAAACGCTTTTATTAAATCAACCCAAACAGATGCCTCATTGCTGAATGGTGGAACTGTACGGAGAAAGCTGCCATGGCTGTACTTGTCACTGAAAATTGAGTGCCTTGCACTAACTCCAATAACCGGTAGGTGATAAAATGCACAGGTAAATGACACTGATAAAGGTGCAGATCCAGGTGCTCCATTTGGATGGGAGATTATTAGAGCGAACATTCGACCCTCTGAAGAATTGAACAGGTTACAGACCTGATTTGTCGCTTTAAGAGCATTTAGAGCAAGAGTCTTAAAAATTAAAATGAAAACTGAGGTACCTCTCCAGCAGCTTTGAAAGTGATTGCATCATCATAAACGCTATCCCTGACGGATGAAACCATCCTTTTAAAACCAGAAATAACCTCATCATCACTTAACAATGCACCGATTGTAAATTCTAAACAGTTTGCTCGATTTAACAGAACCAGTATAATCAGACTATGATATGCTATCATTCTTAAATTAGATCATTATTTTGATCCGAAATAGAAAATATTTTCAAAAAGACATTCCTAAAAAGTACAGGTGTAGTGGCATATTTAAACAACATCCACATTAGTATTCAAAAGTTAAAAATGCGCAAACGTTAGTTCCTTAAAATTTTCATCTGTACTATGAGTCAAAATATCCAGTTACAGAAAGATATAGTTCCGGCTAACAAAATATTATTTGATAAAGAAATGTAATAGTGAAAGAAGATGCACAAAACAATATTCCTTAATACAGTTAGAAGTGAAGTAAAACTTCCAGCTTAAATTTGGCTAGATCACTAGAAAACCTCGATAATATGTTTTTGGAGGAAATAATACAACTTCCAGACTATGGTCACAAAAATAGTGTTCACTTGATTTCGTGTATCATCTTTCTTGTTCTACCAACAAATAAACATTCTTTAGGTATAAGTTACCAATAAAACAATAAACACATGTTATTTCGAAGAGGTTTATGGATGGCTATGATAAGTCACGATCATATGCCTTCTAATGCTTCTGTAATTCATGAAATCCCATTTCGTTTAAAGATGCCACGGATATTCCGGGCCTGCTAACCTTTTTGTCCCTGACACCATTTCAGTCGAGGTTCCAAACCCAGTCAACTCTTGTGTTGAGAATAAAAGAGCTCAGTTATATGTCTGGTCAGTAGTCGATGTTTCCTAAATATCTAACTTGACTAGTTGTTGAGAGGGATGTGTAGAATGGTGTTCACTATGGTGTCGTTGTGCGGATGATTACCGAGAGCCTTCAATCAGCAAAAGTAATGAGGACAACTTCATAGTCAAAGACCTATAAAACTATTTTTTTCGGCGATTTATTTACCGCCACATGTGTATTTTGGCATATCATAAATGACTCAATACTTTTCTCAATAACTTGTTAACTATTTTTTGTTGATTGTTTTACCCCGCCACAAGTTCACAGTTGCTTATTTCTTCCCTTTTTTGGACGTCACTTTATAATTTATCTTGGCTGACGTCCGAATGAAGTCGGTTTATGCTCCACATCAGGTGAATAAGAATGGACCCTTTGATGTTACAGTCACACGTTTGAGTTCAGTGGCCTCACTGTCAGTAAATGAGACCCTGGTAACTCGCAAAATGTAATGATCCTTTATCATTCTATTAAATTCTTTATCAATATTATTATTCACAAACACCTTATGGGTACATAAGTGTTGTGAAGAATTCATTTCGGGTTTCTTTAAAAAATGCAATAATACACAAGTTTCAATTATCTTAGCATTATGTTTGTCATATTTGAAAAAAGAGAAAAAAAGATAATGAAAATAGAATAATAATCATAAATCAGGTTCTGTGTAATTGAGAAGAATATTAAGTCGACTTTAAAGAAGGAAAGGGAGAAAATAAGGGAACAGAAATAAAGAGACGTGAAATACGCTAATATTTTATTAAGGGTGTTTATGAACACTTAACGACAATAGACGACTATGTATGTATAGTCAAATTAGTAACCAAAATAAAATAATTAAAAAGTGAGAAAAAACTTGTTCTCGCAGAAAGATATGACGTTAGAATAGGTGTTTGTGCAGTCATAGTTTGTTCTGAATAAAATATATTTGGTCCTTTTGCTGAAATTATTCTAATCAAACCTCAAACTCAAGTTTAATGTCCACATTTTTTCGCCAGCTTGTATTAACCGATCGATATTTTTGCGCTTGTTTCTTATTATTCTGATACAGGCTCACGCATTTAACGATGTCCAATGAGTGGTAGCCTAGTCACTCAACTGAATTGATTCCAGTCAGTTTGATAGTCATTTGTGGGTCCGCATATCTTGTGGTTTGAGTGAGTATGTTTATCTCAAGACATTGGGGTTCCTAGATACCAGCAGCTATCGCACTACCAGACAGTTTCGTTGAGTGATAATCCAAATACTGAGAGATAATTGTTTCAAGAATAATAAAGTAGTTAATCATGTGCTAGTGTCTAAGAAGATGGAACAAACAAGGGAGGTATGCAGGTGATTATAAGAGATATAGGACTTGGTTACTGATGTGTGGCGATGATAGTTGTAGTAACTTGTGAGATATGCATCAGATATGGATGGTTTGCGAGAGGGTTGCCAATCCTTGGGTGATCAAGTGTTTGTCAGGTACCCTTCACTTCAGCTAGGAGGCAATTCTGATTGCAGAGGACTGCTAATTAAGAAAGAGGGAGCTAACCTGGGCGTTCGCTCTCTGATGTGTATTCTTTCGAATGAACAGTTTTGTTTACTTTGTCTACATCCTCTATATGGTTTGAACTTATGTCTAAGCTCTCCATGGTTACTGGTCCGAGACCACGCTCTGAAGAGACTATCAGGAGAAAATTTTCATGTAGGATATAAGTGCTTTACGTCAAATGAGGGAAAAGTTTCATGATCGGACATTTCGACAGGTCGTTCTAGCTTCTGATCCACTGCCCATTTCTTAATTGTTATGCGATTCTTTGGAAGCTCAAGTGAATTCCTTAATTACGGACCTTTAGATCTTCACGTCAACAGTATATATCATTGCCGTCGAGCAAATTTTATTTAACAGATCATCAATAAAGAAAAAAAGAAGTGAACCTCAGACGGTTTCTTATGAAACCCTAGAGCTGAGAACCTTCAACTCGCGTGCGTCCTATTTACCTTAGAATGAAACATTCTGTTGTTGTTTTTACTCACATACTCCCTTATCTGTTGATTGACTAGTACCTCCAAAACCTTCTACAGTATTGGAAGTATTTTAACAAGGGCCTTCCTATCTTGCCCTCTGAAGATTGGGAGAGAGTGGCCTGCTTCCATTCTCTTGGGAGTCGGTGTGAATCTAGTAAGTATGCTTGCGAGCGTAGACTTTTACGCCCATGTGTATTTGTGGGGTATGTGGACTTGTCTGTGCCTTCTATAATTGCATGTAAAGCTTACTAATAATTGCGCCCACCTGTACTAACATGCATATCACTGGAATGTGTTTACCTTTGTTACCCGCATTTGAATATATGCATATGAAGCATACTTGGAGGTAGTTCCCATGTTTTCTCATTGGTGAACTTGACGAATTATGGTCTACTGTGATATTAGTACTGAGCTAATAATAGACCTAATCCTAAAACTGTGGATTTGTCACGATATAACTGCCGAACCTAAAGATATTACATGGAAGTCACTTCATCGTCTACACCAACTCACTGTATCGTAACAATTACTAATACATGATGGAGAACAAGCTTAAGCTAGAGAAAGAATAATATATTTAACATGAATAAAATATATAACGTAACGTTCCACAGGGACCACGCCTGCATGGTCGAGCCATGCCGTACGATCAACTCCACTTCACTCAATTCATTCTTCCCGCCCTCTCCATCGTTGGGTTTTTCTCCGTGTTAAATGTTGAATGTCTATTTCCCACGTTATCTCGTATTAGCTTCCAATGCCACTACAAACTTATTAGTAGCTCGCCAGCGCTTTTGACTTATACGACGGCTTCCAAAAGCGATGGGAAAAGAGCAGTGTGGGCCAATAGGAATACGGCTTTGCTATGTAGTGTGGATTAATTGACCATACTAGTGATGTCATAATCCCTTTATACACGTATTCTTCAGTTTCCAGTAACACCATTATCCCAGAACTCTTCCCTGCCCGAAGAGCCATGGGGATCTCCCAAGTTGTTGGGCGGGAATGTGGACTGAAGAAAAACAAAGTATTCAGATAAGTAAATGTGGTTTTTTCGTCGAAATTATTATAGTGCGTTTTTATTACCACAACTTTTGCAGAGTCATGAGCGGACTCTAATTTAGTGTAGTTGTCCAGTTTTGCTTGCAACAGGATTTCTTGGTAAGAACTAAAACCAATCGAAGTTTTCAGTCATGAGTCAAAGAGGTATTCGACATAGGAAATTAACATTAATACAATTGGTTAGTAAATCTCGCTAGACAATAAGGGGCCGTAATTTTCCAAGATGCTCTACCTTACAGATGTGAGTGGACTGAGGTTGTCTCCCCACCATCATGTTTGCTGATCAGTAACGCCACACTCCCGTTCTTGTAATGTAAGGCTCTCTTATGTTTGTGGTATGTATACATATTGCTTTAAACTCAACTCCACTAGTTCCATGTTAATGCAAATCAGAGACCTATTTTCCTTTACAGATAGATAGGTTATTAAAGTCACTTGAAATTCCAAATACACTTCCATTTAAAGCTTCTGGCTTAAAGCCGTGTGCGATTTTCAGTTCATCAGCGTATAAGTATAGTCTCGCGAATTTTATGATTCTGCATATATTGTTTATACACATCAGGAAGAAGAGTGAACGTAATATACTTCCCTGAATAACTCAACCTGTTATTGATCTTTGTGATGAGAGAGAGTCGTTCTGCTTAACCATTTGTTTTCGTTCTGTTAGGAATAAAGCAAACAATGAATATGTTGGGTTATTGGTTCAAAAGGATTTCAGTTTGGTGAGAAGCCTTTTCTATGGGACTTTATCAAAGGCTTTCTTCAAATCTAAGAAGAGAATTGATACAAGGGGCCCGTTGTCTCGTTTCAGAGTTATATCATCTAGATAGTCTTTTAGGCATGTGTGCGAAATCTCGTTCATCCCCTAACAATACCTACTTTCCTCGTTTGTGTACCGACTAATTCAACTTCACGTATCCAGCCCTTTGGTCCAATAGGTGGCATTTACGATAGTGGTGTAGACACCAAAACTTGCATCGTAACTACAGGGATGACGGCCATTTCCGGTAACACGTTAATAAGAAAGCTCAAGGAAACGGCAGATAATGAACTTCAAATTACATGTGTTTCTCCGAACCATAACACCGAGAACCGGATTGATCTACTTCGCATCAATAAAATGTTCAGGAGGTACTACGGGAAACGTGAGAACATAAAGAGGAGTTGACATGCCTTCACATCACCAACTGTTGGTTGCCAAGATGAAACTGAAACCAAACAGGTACTTGAAAACTGAGTCAGAATCACAAACGTTTAATTCAGACTTTCGTGAGGTACTGAAAAACTCAATGAATTCAAGACAGCT